GAAAGTTTCCATTAGAGTAAAGTAGTTCCAGTTTGAATCATGGCGACATCTGATCAGTCATCAGAGAGCAGGGAAGACTTAGTGCTGCAGCGAGGCGTGTCAGACAACAAAGGGTACAAATAATTGTGTTTTGCAGTGTCAATTAAAATTTTCCTGAAAAGAGTTTCTCAGCGACGTCCTCGTCACTCGTCTCTTGCATAACAAAAAACATCCGAACAACGGGATGAGGCGCACAAAAGCCGCCTGCTCTGAATCAAATTCATCTTTTAAAAGATGGGAAGCGTTGAAGTTTCTTCCCGTACGTACAGAGAATTGTTGTACTTGCTAATACGTACACTCTGCGTGTACATGACAATCTCTCTGGCATACAAACACGGCTGCCTCGTTAATTCAGGTCTAAATTTAACGAGGTGTCTGGGGAGCCGTGCTGGAAGGCAGCAGAGAGCAGCTGAACATGATGATGCATTATGGAGATAACTAACCTGCTGTCTGATTACGCTCTCCGTCACTAAATTCTGACCCCTCCCCCCACGACACACTTTTTTGCTTTCCTCACACAAAAATGTCCGTTTTCTACCAACAATGATGTTTAGATGCTCAAATTAAAAGTGCGTTTGTTTTTAATTACCAACTCAAAAAAGTGCAAAATAAATCCAATTAAAAAAGAACGGGAACTGCTGAACTCATGTTTGTGTTTTTTTTTTTTTAAAGCACAAACTCAAAGTGTGTAACTTTATTAAGGATCTGAGCAACCAACAAATTTAACTTGGGCAGCTCTCGACATCACACCAAGGATAGAGGCGGTTATTGTGTTTAATCACATTTAATCAAACGAAGCTTTTAGAGAACAAAACTACAGTTTACTGCCGTCACTGAAAGTCTTTCAGATAAATCCATTACCAGGGACAAGTTCTAAAATTAAGAGGTTTGTTCCCGAGTGAGGAAAGAATGGAGCGTGAGATTGACAGATGGATTGGTGCAGCATCTGAAGTATTGTGGACTCTGTGCCGGTCTGCTGCAGTGAAGAGGGAGCTGAACTGTAAGACGAAGCTCTCTTTTACCGGTCGGTCTACGTTCCTCGCCTCACCTCTGGTCATGGACTCTGGGTAGAGACTGAAAGAATGAGATCGTGGATCCAGGAGGTTGAAATGAGTTTCCTCTCCCTGGACTCTTCTTAGAGACAGGGTGAGAAGTTCAGTGATCAGGAGAGACTCATGCTCCTCCACATCCAGAGGAACCAGTTGAGGTGGTTCATCTGGTAAGGATGCTTCCTCGGCGTCTCCCTAGGGAGGTGCTTTGGACAAGTCTGACTGAGAGGAGACCCCAGGGAAGATCCAGGGCACACTCTCGGTTGGCCTGGGAACACCTAGGAGTCCTCCCAGAAGAGCTGGAAGAGGTGGCTGTGGAAAGCGATGTCTGGACGTCCCTGCTCAAGATGCTGCCCCGAGACAGGACTTCAGAACAAGCGGAAGATGATGGACGGACAGGCGGACGTGTCCATGAAGAATATGGAAAATCTTCAGCCGTTTTCCGCTGTTGACTCTTGTTTCGACGTTCATGAACCCCAGGTGCAACCATACATCTCCACAGTCTGGGACTGGACTCCATTCTTCAAGATGGCAACGCTCACCCCCACAGAGGGGGGTTATTTCATTCATCCATTCAACCTTTATTTATACAGGTTAATCCCATTGAGCCTCGGGGACCCGAAGGATGGAATGATCTCAAACCCATTGAAAACCTTGGGTTTGCCCCAGAGTGACCTCCCACTGGCTGACTTAAAACTACCACTGGTTGAAGAAAGAGCTGCCATCCCACAACAGTGTGTGACCGAGCTGGTGAGCAGCACGACGAGGAGGAGCCTAGAGCTGTTGTGGCTGTATATGGTTCTTCCACATGCTACTGAGGATCCTGTTGGTAAAATTGCCATTGTGTCTTTTTTTAGACTTCAATCATCCAATCCAATAAACTATACCAAAGTTGTTCAGTGAAGAAGATTTGGCATCTTTATTATGAGTGCAACCAGCATAGTCAACTCTGCTGCTCAACAAGTGTGGCACCATTTCAGAGGATTTATTGCCAAGAAACATTGCTCCAACAAAGAAATAATCAACCATAACAATGTACAATAATCAACATACCGGTACATTCCCTTTGTTTTTGTACTGTTTATATTGAATATGTCCTGCTTGTAGGGTAGGCAAAGATATCATCCATCCATTATCTTTTACCCGCTTCTTCCACTTTGGGTCACGAGGGTCGCCGGTGCCCATGTCCAGCAATCACTGTGCGAGGGGCGGGGCACACCCTGGACAAGTCGCAAGTCCATCACAGGCAAAGATATTATATCATTTTTTTTAATCTGAAGCCAGACACCCGCACCGGGTTTCCACAACGACAGGAGAGCATGGGACACGTGAGGAAAATGTGCATTTAACTCATAAACATATGGAGATGATAATAATACTGCAGATTTTAGGACGGGCTTGGTTTGAGATGGAGGGGTGTGCCACGCCTTTATTAGACAAACCTCTTAAAGATTTTGACACACCATAAAAACAAAAACTGCATGACATTAAGAAATTAATGAAACAAACATTATTCAAAAACAGTAGGTACGCTCAATCATCCAGATAAATAAATTACAACAAGTTAAATCATGTCATATGGACAGTTTATTTTGGTCCACACTGCTAACAGCCCCATGCTGCTAACAGCCCCATGCTGCTAACAGCCCCATGCTGCTAACAGTACCATGCTGCTAACAGTACCATGCTGCTAACAGTACCATGCTGCTAACAGCACCACACTGCTAACAGTACCATGCTGCTAAGAGTACCACACTGCTAACAGCACCACACTGCTAACAGCACCATGCTGCTAACAGAACTACTATGCTAACAGTACCATGCTGCTAACAGAACCACTATGCTAACAGTACCATGCTGCTAACAGGATCACAATGCTAACAGTACCACGCTGCTAACAGTACCACAATGGTAACAGTACCATGCTGCTAACAGTACCATGCTGCTAACAGGATCATACTGCTAACAGTACCACGCTACTAACAGTAACACACTGCTAACAGTACCATGCTGCTAACAGGATCAAATTACTAATAGAACAACAATGTTAACAAAACCATGCTGCTAACAGGATCACTATGCTAACAGTACCATGCTGCTAACAGCACCACACTGCTAACAGCACCATGCTGCTAACAGCACCATGCTGCTAACAGTACCACACTGCTAACAGCACCATGCTGCTAACAGAACTACTATGCTAACAGTACCATGCTGCTAACAGAACCACTATGCTAACAGTACCATGCTGCTAACAGGATCACTATGCTAACAGTACCACACTGCTAACAGTACCACAATGGTAACAGTACCATGCTGCTAACAGGATCACACTGCTAACAGTACCACGCTACTAACAGTACCACACTGCTAACAGTACCATGCTGCTAACAGAACTACTATGCTAACAGTACCATGTTGCTAACAGAACCACTATGCTAACAGTACCATTATGCTAACAGGATCACTATGCTAACAGTACCACGCTGCTAACAGTACCACAATGGTAACAGTACCATGCTGCTAACACCGTACCATGCTGCTAACAGTACCATGCTTCTAACAGAATCACTATGCTAACAGAACCACTATGCTAACAGTACCATGCTGCTAACAGGATCACTATGCTAACGGTACCACACTGGTAACAGTACCACACTGGTAACAGTATCATGCTGCTAACAGTACCATGCTGCTAACAGTACCATGCTGTTAACAGGATCAAACTACTAATAGAACAACAATGTTAACAGACCCACACTGCTAAGAGCATCATGCTGCCAAGAGAACCATGCTGCTAACAGGACCATGGTGCAGGAACAGCTTCTACCCTGAAGCTCTTCGACTCGTAAAGCTCTAACCAGGATAATCACAGAAAAAAAAAATTTCACATCATGTTGCTGCTGATCCGTTTCATGTTGCTGCTGATCCGTTTCATGTTGCTGCTGATCTGTTTCATGTCGCTGCTGATCTGTTTCATGTCGCTGCTGATCTGTTTCATGTTGATGTGTTCATTCGTGCTCGTCTGCTCACACAGACTCATGTTCGTGCTGCTGTTCGACGCAATATTTTCTGCTATTAGTGCTTAGCATATTTCTAGTTGATGTTTTTCTTCATATCTTAGATCTTATTACTGTTTTTCTTTTACATTTTATTGTTGGATGTAACTGGGACCCTGTGGACACAATTTCGTTCCACCTCCTGTACCACATGTGGTGAAACAACAAATAAAGAACCTCTGACTGCTAACAGTAACAGTGTTTTCATAACACTTTTTATTTTAACTGCTTTAAACTTTATATGTTGTCCGTCTAAAACGGGTCTCTCTTGAAAATGAGTCCTCGTGACTCAGTGAGACTAACCTGGATTAAAACAGAAACTGTCCAGACGACACGATTTTACCTTTTTGTGAATAACCTACGAGGTGTTTCAGTCCCAGCACGATGTTTAATATTACGATGATGTTCCAGGTTTTGTGCAGCCGCGCTTTAAACCCATTTACTCCGATGTCTTGCACGGATATCCAGCATTCTAACCCTCAAAGCAGTACAGTTAACTAAACCTTCTGGCTTTATGAAATGGTCCCATCCATATGAGGGTATTCATAGTCCATCCGAACCTCCGTCTCCCTGATCCTGATTTGACACGAGCCAAGTACTCCCACCTGACATCTGCTCCCCATCATAAATGTGTTTGAGGTGCGCTGAAAGTTAATTGACGAGCCAATAATTGTCCCAAACCAGCAGGCTGTGCGTGTGTGCAGCAGGATATAAATACACGGTCAGCAGAGCATCACTAAGTCCTGAAAGTGGCTGTCCAATGAACCAACAGAGCTCGGCACTTTCACAGCCGCACGGTAAAACAGACTCGCTGGGTCAGAACGCGGAAACATCGGCGTAAATCGCTTCTTACCGGTGAGCTGAACCTGAGCCACGTAGTTCCCGCTGATGACCGAGTCTGTGCTCGGGGTTCGGCAAAAGTAGAAGCCGGCGTCCTGCGGCTTCAACTCCGCGATCTTCAGGTCCGCCTCGTTGTCCTGCAGCCGCACCACCGAGATGTCGCCGGACGCCACGCGCTTGCTGAGCGAAGGGTCTGAGAAGCTGCTGTCAAAGGTGGAGATTATTTTGATCTTGGGCCCGGTGGCATCCCGGGACATCTCCCAGTCGAAGTCCTGCAGAACAGAGAGAAGTCTTGGTGACTTGTACGAACCTGGGAAAATGGTGGCCTTGACCACCCTAGATTAATCTTTGGTCATCCCAATCATTTGAGGAAACTATACTTTTAAGCAAAATAAAAACTAGAAAGCAGTTTCCTCAAATGATCAGAGTGGTCGGTTTACATATGGCGGTGGCCATCTTGGATTTTATCGTGGCAAATCAGTTTGAGTGACCTTTCTTACACCTAGATGCAGCCACACACCAAAATGGAGGCCGATACCTCGTTTATCTATCAAGTCATCCAGGTCCCAAGACGCATTTCCAACTCCCCTCTTCGCGTCATGACGGGGGTCAACAAGCTGGTTTCCGTAGACCTCGACTAACCACGATAATCATGACGCTCCACTTTGACACTTTCACAAAACATTTCTGCCAGATGGCCACAGAGACCAGTCCGTCGTCACGCTGCCTGTGTTCGTTCTTAAATCACAGATGGAGCCGCCACGTCCCGCTCAAACGCGAGCTTTCCTCTTCCTCTTCGTGGAACCAAGAGCCGTGGAGCAGAGCTCTCAGTTCCTCTTTGTGGTTAACCAATATTTAAACTAAATACAAAGTTGCTGTGCGTCACCATGGATCTTCTCTAGTAACAAACCTGTTTGTTGTTTAATCCCATGACCAGGCGGACATGGGATTAACCTTTAACAGATTACCAAGCCGCAGCACTAGTTTACCTTCTCACGTCGACCGTTTTGCCTCCGTTACTACCTCGCTTCACGGCACAAAGGAGCACCAGCGGTGGGTTGGCTTCGACCCCTCTCGCCGCCACAGGACTTTGAAGCACATTGAAGCTTGAAGGGTCCAGTTTGGGATGTGCTCACAGTTTACGGACAGGTGAAAGCAGCAGAAGCATTCATGAATCAAACCGAGGCCAGAAGGCGTCTCAGCTCTGACTGAAGTGTTTGATGAAAAAGCTCAAAGTTACATTTTGGATAAACGTTACAAACACACAGTCAACATTTACCTGCTCACGTGGTCCTCCATACTCTGTGACGTTACATCGTATCGAGACCGGCTGCCCCTCCACTCTTATCAACGGGCCGGGGGCCACCATCACCACCCGGGCCCAAGACCCGCCTTAAAGGACACAGAAAACACCGAACATTCAGTCTTCAACAAGTACCAGGAACTCCACGTTATAAATATATATAAATATTCTGCAGTCAAACAAGGAGGCCGCGCGCCTCGCCTTCTAAAGTCGAGGTCGGTCTTCTGACTGAAGATCACGCACGGCTACGTCTCAACATGCGCAACACGAACCGGCACACACCAGAAGGCTCGTTGGAACTTGCAGAGTTGATGATAAAAGGAGTTATGAACACCTGAAACTCAATTCTTAATTTGAGTTGCTAACTCAAATTCAATTCTAATTCAAAAAGGGAAATTAAATGCAACTCATCATCCTGGTTTTATTAGAGTTCTTCTAGATGCTGATGGCTGTGGGCAGGAAGGATCTCTCGTAGCAGTCCATCTTAGAGCAGACCTGAAGAAACCGGTTGCAGATGTTGATCTGTCTACTTGGACTTGGTGGGTTTCTCAGTCTTCTTGAGCAACAGGACCACCTGAATCTTGGGCAGAACTCCTCCCTGAGAGGTGGTCTTTCCTCCCAGCAGCTTGTTGAGCTTCTCGTCATTGCAGACAGCCAGCTGCAGGTGCCAGGGGATGATCCTGGTCTTCTTGTAGTCACGAGCCGCGTTTTCCACAGTATCAGTGGTTATGTAGTCAAGCACCTCTGCCAGGTAGACGGGGATGCGTCCACGGCACCTCCTTTTTAACTTATTTGTGATTTGGGGCTGTACCTTCATTCATTCATTCAACCTTTATTTAGACAGAATGAGCCTCAAGGACTGTACCTGAGGTATTATTTGAGTTTTTGAGATGTTAATCAGCTGCTCCCAATTGCAAAGACCACCTTGTTGTCATGGTTACGCATCATAACAAATGTCCAAAAGCAAAGAGTTTCCAGTAAAATTCCTTCAAGCAGCACAGCATCTGATATCAGAGGAAGTAATATCTAAATCAAGTGACTTACATCCAGAAAAAGAGGAATTAAAGATTTCAAAAGCAACATCCCAGAATGAAAGTAACAGAGCTGCTCCAACATGCAGCCATCTTGAGCGGCGCAATTCTAGAAATGAATTCTAGAATCAACATGCCACAGGGAAGCTAACCCCGTTAGCATCGTGTTTATCGCTGAAAACGTGTCTGCAAATTAAACGTTTCAGAGTCCTTAATAAAAACTGTTATATTATGATAACTTTTACTATTATTTGACATATCTTCAGTATTTGGAGAAGACAAAAAAGATGTAAAATAAAATAAATATACGGCACCACAACTATTCTGCTAGCTCCCTATAAGTGGCAGCATCAATTTATGATTATAATCCATTTTTGATATTTGATAATTGATTCTGACTTCTCGATGTCTCCAACGCGGTACATTTTAAAAATAAATAATTTCTGCACTCGCTCTCGTGCAAGGCGGACACATTTTCTCTTCCTCTCCTGTCCTCCGGCTTTTTTTGCTCTCTGTCTGTGTAGCGTGGTCCGGTTAGCAGCGCGGTCCTGTTGGCAGCGTGGTCCTGTTAGCAGCGTGGTCCTGTTAGCAGCGTGGTCCTGTT